ATTCTAGTACTCCAAAAAGTACAAAATTTAGTGGGAACTCAAGCCAAACACACTGGCTTGATTTTGATTGAAATGAAAGGTGCTGCCTTAATTTATTGGCCTTTGCCTTTTCTCACCAGCACAGAAAAGCTCGGGCCAATTTATTTGCTTCGTCCCTTCCAGATCCCAAGGAGGACCACCAGCAGCCAAGTGCCCAGAAAAAATAGGTTTGATACAGAAAAGCCCAAATGACCCTTCACTGGTAGGGCCATTCAGTGGACTGCAGTGATTAGATCTGAATCAGGGCTTGACATCATACTTAAGGCCGGTGAGTTTCCACAATCACTACCACTGCTCACCACCCCAGACATAATTCCTGCACCTCATGCAATTCTAAGTCCTTTCAGGCTGAAGCCACTACAATCTACCAGGAAGTTCTCAAAGAAATATTCTGTTTCTTCCCACACATGGAAAACTGAAGGTTCACCTATAAATAATTAGAGCCCACTTTACATTATTACTGCTCTGTGTGTCATAATTAAACAAGAATGAAAGAAATCTTAATAGCATTGTAATTTAGACTGTGTTCCTTACTTGGGATTAGAATCTCAGTCAAATCCAGGTTGCTGTGACAGGCCTTTCTTTTTTAGGGCTACTATTGTCCTAGGGCTACTGAACCAGCTTCTATTCTCACCCAAATCCTGTCCTGATCTTCTCTTCTCTCCCCAATCTGGCTTGAGATCCCTGGCCCCTATAAACCCTAAAGAGCACCTCCTCTTCTGAGTCTTCCCAGCTTCAATATCCTCACGCACAATATAACTACTCAACTCTGACTCTCCACCATGACTCCCCAAGGCCATGGGCTCTTAGCAATGTGTCCAGAGAAAGAATGCCAGTGTGACCCTGCCCAAGAAGCTGCTCAGACAGTGAGCCAGATGGCTGCTGATGGGGTCTGGGCCGTCCCCCCAGCAGGGAAAGTAGCCAGCCCAACAGAATAGCCATGTGGCCTTATGGAAGCCCCAGAGACCAGATGATAAGTCCACCTTGGCCAACACAGAGCATCTGTGGGTAAAGACTTTCACATCTCTGAAATCCAATTTCCCCACTGATGCAAAAAGAAGAGGATTTTAAAATAATCTTCCAACTCTCTTATTCTAATGGGGAACACCCATGAGGTATGAGGCCCTGGGACAGGCACTAGAGAAGATAAAGACATTTTTCATCAGTCTAGAATTATCCTCCAGTGGAGAAAAGAAGTTGACCCTGTGACTGATCCTCTATTGTCATGTTGGGCTTTGTGTACACACCCTGTGTACACCAACACGCCCCCATACACACCACAAATATTGCTTAAGTAACAGACATCAAAACTGAGGAGAGCCATAAAGCCCTGTACTTGTTGAGAAAAAGATTTCTAGATTTTCAGAAGATAGTTCTTATTCTCCCAAGAGATCAGAGGGATAGGAAAAATTCCATTAGATCAGTGTTTCTCGGTGGGGAACAGGTGGTACGGGTGAGGCAAGAAGCCTGGGATCAAACAGTTGAGACACTGCAGATTAAAAAGGTCATCTTTCATTTGTTTTTCTGTTGGAGATTTCTTCAGGGACTTTAACAAGCACATGCATGTTGAGATACTCAGAGAGGCCAATAGTGTCCCAACCATAGGCCATGGAGTCCTCAACTCTGCTTCTCAAGTGATGAGGTTTCTGAGAAATACCCTTTAGGAAATACTGAACCACAGAGACTCTAAGTCCCTGGGACGAGGGCACGGACCTTGCTCAGCACGGTGTCTCTGGCACCTGGCAAGCCATTGGGCATATGGGAAACTTCAATAAAACAAAATAAAACGAAAATGTGCTGAGTGACCAAGTGAGCAGTTTCTAAATTCTAAGGGGAAAGACTGGCATTACGAGAGCCTGGCAGGGAGGATACGGTGTGCCACCATGCATACCCCCCTTACCCACACGTCTGGGCTCCAGGTGGGCACAGACAGGTAGGAGTTATAGGTGAGGTTATCTTTATCTTCCTAAGAAACCAAGGTCACAATTCTGTAAGTCATCCTAGAAGACTTTAACTCTTTTTCCCCCCTTAACGGGGTGAAGAAATAAGTTTCACGAAGAATCCTGGCATTTTTCTTCTTCAGTAAGAAAAAAATAAAATCAGTTACAACACTCACAGGCCAGACTCCATGCTGTAGTTAGAGATTATTTTTGTTTCTTTACTGCCCCCTTCTGGTCCCCAGGTTCCCGCATGGAAATTCAAACGCCTTGTTGTATTCGTACCATACTATGGCATAGTAAGCGTGTGTTCAGATTCTTTACCTTATATGACATTGTAAGTGTCAGAAGCAGTTAGGATGGCCTTCACTCCTTTCACTTTACCTGGCGGCAACATGGAACTTAGGTGATTTGGCTAGTGACAGAAAGTCTGGAGCAGAGCAAGGACTAACCACACCTGGTGTTTGTTCCAAGGAGCAAACACTGGGTTGAGCCATTTGGCTTTGCCCAGCTATATTTGCAAAGAGTGCTATTGTTCTCTCATCCCTTCACAAGCACAACCTTAAATGGAAAATTCCATGCCCTTAAAAAAAGAGGATGTTGTTCAACCATACCCTGATCTTTCTCAAGGGTAAAATCCATTTCATTTTATGAGGTCTTTCTTTGAGAAAAGAATGTCAAGAGCCTATAATTAATTCTTTTTTTATCCAACAGTCAAGATATCCACGTGTCCTAGAGCATTAAGCCAAGATAGTGGCCCCTCAGCTTCTTCCTGAACATACCTTGGTCTGGAAGCAGCAGTAGAGTTGAGTTAGGTAAGGGTGTTTCCGTGCCAGAGCCAAGATCCTCTTCTCTGTCATCGTGCAGTCCACGTCATCATCCTGAAGGATGACGTCCTTCTTTAAGACCTTCACAGCATATACTTCATCTTTGCCCTTGAGTTCTGCCAACATGACCTGCAAGCAATCAAAACCACCCCATTAATTCATGTGTATGAAGAGTCAAAAGAAACAGCAGTCAGAACCACATGCTTTAAAAACTATTTTCTTGCCTTCATTTCAAATATGATAACATTAAAAACGTCAATTATTAGAAAATGACCCATCCTAACATACCTAACTTAGTCATTTTTAATCTCCAGCATAGTGCCTAAGCAAAAAAAAAAAAAAAAAAAAAAAGAGTTCAATGTACATCTGCAAAAAAAATCACAAATTCCTATCTATTCATCTTTTAACTGAACATCACTTCAAAGCATTTTCTCCACTGTCTGTATCACCGTCTTGGCTACTGATACACGATTGTAGGACTACAGGAGCGGGACAGTAGATGACACCGATTTATTTAACTGTGTTCCTCATATCAGACCCAACCTTTACATCTAACGATTACAAGTTTATAAATAAATTGTCATGTGTATTTTGGTATGTATAGTTTTTTTTTTCTTTCTTTTTAAGACATTAAGTTCCAGAAGTGGATTATAGGGTACAACATTCTGCACATTTGCTAATTTTCAAAAAGCAAATACAATATAGACTGCCACTGGCAATGAAGTACTTTAGTTTCAGGACAATTACTAACACTGTATGCTTTCACTGAAGTGTTTTATTAGTATTTTTAAAATTTATTTTGCTGATGTAATGGGTATAAAATGCCACATCATGGCTATTATAATTTGCAATGAAACTTTTAAATTATTTGTGTTTTAATTACATTTCTTGAGGGTGAATCATTTGTCAGTTTCCTTTGTCCAGTTACCATTGTTGTATAATATTATTGCATATTATTTTCTTATGCATCTGTATGCCTGTGTTACGATTTTCTGTAATTTTGTTTCTATTGAACAGGCTCTTTTTATGTAGTTGGATCCATCCTTGTTTGCCTTCATAGTTTCTTCTACAACTTGAAAGTCGGAAAGGAGTCTCCAGTGAGGGAATCAATAGTTCTCTTTTCCTAAAGTTTTCTGATGATTTGATTTTTTTTTCCCCCTACAGATGTGACAAGCCTTTCTCTCATTATATAACTGACTCCTAAGGAGTACCCTAGGATAAGACATCAGAGCTGAAGTGCTGCAATCAGAAGCCTAATGAGGGAATTCAGGATGTTAATCTGAGGGCCTTTCATCACTCCTACATAATGAAAACTCTTTAAGATTGACTCAAACTTTGGCCGTGATTTTTTCTTGAGATAAGACTCAAGTGCCCCGCCAGCACCCCAGTCCCCAAGCTGCCTGCACACAGGGAGACCTAAGACTCAGCCTGCTCGTTTCCCCCCAAGTGCGCTCAGAATGAAACATACTCATGCCCCAGCGTCATGCCTGGCTAGCTGGCTGGGAGCTGCCTCTTATTTAGCCAGTGTCCAAAGAATGTGACTGCTTCAGCTTTTTGCTATTTACAGAAACTCCAGTTACTTTCCTCCCCAGGATCTCTGGGGCAGGTAGGCTGGGATGGGCTCCTGGCCCTGCACCCTGGGGCTCTCTCCCTAGTCATGTCCTGCAGTGAGAGTGCTTGGCTCACAGCTCAGCAACTGACTCATGGCTGCTGTTTCCAACAGTTCAGGACAGGTGGGGGCATGTGACCTCTGGAAATTTCTAGAATCAGGCTCCCAGTTTCCGGAGCAGAGTCTCTCTGCTCCAGAAAGTCCCACAGAACCACTCTCATCAGTCCCCAGGCATGGTGTTGCAAAAAGCAAGGGAAAATTGGGGACGTTAATTGAAATGTTAACCAGCTTCCTGGGCAATCTGTCCATCCATCTTCATTCTAAAGCAAGTGGATTAATTTCCCACCTCAGTCCACCATCAGCACAGCCCTTGACCTCCACAAAGGCTCTCCTGTGTGCATGGCATCCACACTTCACCTGTGGGGTGAGGGCAGGACATCCAGACTGGTACCATGGCAGAACATCCTGGCCCAAGCCATGAGAAGGTCATTCTCATTCTCTACCCACATGCACAGGATGAACAAAACTATTTAGCACCAGAATTAAGGTCCAGAGAAGCCATCAAGTAACATTTAACTTCCAAAATAACATATATTGAAATATGCTTTGATACCTGTTCACAAAAGGCAGAGATTCTGGTCTTCAAAGTCTTCATAATGAGTTAAAAACATCTTCAGATAGGGCCCTCCCTGGTGGCGCAGCGGATTAAAGCACAGCACTAGAAACTGAAGCCACTTCACATGAGTTCGATCCCTGCCCCGGAGGTGACTCACATGGCGCCGCAGACCTCTCCTGACCCACCTGCTGCTCCCCACAGTAATGTACACTGTCACTCAGCCTGTTCTACTCCCCATTGTGTCTTGAGTGAATCCTCTTACTGCTCCTGCACCTCTGGCCTGTACCCCAGTTCTGTATGCATAAATAAATAAATCTTTTTAAAAAATCTTCAGATAGATGGCTGTCTGAAGAAGGGAAGAAAGGAATGTCTGCTGACACTGGCACACTTCAGCTTCTCAAAGTGCTTTCTGATCCTCACTCCCACTTGGTTCCCACCCCCATCTGACAAGTGAAGAATACTAAATCCCAGAGGGACTTGAACGAGCACACTAAAGTCCTGTAGTTAACTGGCAAGAGCATCATTCTCCAAGTGTTCAACCGTCAGCCATATTCACTCAACAAGGAAGGAAAGATGACGAGACCAGACAGAGATGTTCTTCACTTAACATGACGTTCAACAGAGGAGGCCACACCCCACTCAAATTGCAGTTCTACCCACTCTTGCCACAGACCTTGCCAAAGCTGCCTTTGCCCAACACCTTGATGAAGTTGAACTCATCCAGGCCCAAGCGCTTGGCCTGGCCTTGCCGGACTTCACCATTCTCACCAGGGCTCGCCAGCTGGCCGTCAGCGGATGAAGCTGCTCTGTGCTCCTCCCCTCGGTTGTCAAATGACAAGGCCTTGCGGATGTTGTTTTCAAGTTCTTTTATTTCTAGGAGCAAGGGTGACAAGATATTGCATTAATGCAAACACACAGACTTCCCATCAGGACTCTATATGCCAGAAGTCCCTCCAAGAGTTCTAATGCTCCTGCTGGCTCTTGGTAGCCACAGCTCCAGCCCAGCATTCCTTAATATTGCCCTTAATTTGCTCCACACATTTCTGTGTACCTACTGCATACAGTGGGGCCTCTGGATGCAGGCGGGGAGAGGCTTTGTCCTCATCAACCAATTCATTACATTATGTTGGGACTCAGCCACCTCCCTGAAGGAAAAGGCAGGCTTTGGTCAGTAGGCTACGCCACTATTCCTGATGTGCAGCAGGAATCCCAGCCGCCTCTGGAAAGTTGAATAGTTCCAAAGACAACAGGTACCCTTCACTCAAGCTTCCTTTGAAGAAAAGAACAATAATGAATGGAGACCTGTCATCACAGTAATCACTGGTGATGTGATTATTTCAACAGCTGCGACTAGAAAGCTTTTTTTTACTTTTGAGAGGACTTTAACTGGCCTTGTTGCTGGGTTTATGCTAAATGCCCATCTCACACAAGGTTATTCAACAAAATGAGCAACGGGCTTATGGTTAACAAAAGAATTTCTTCCCAAGAGTGAGATGTTGCAAATTTATCTCAAATGGGGCAGGAATTCCTCAGCACAATTTCACAACTGTGAGACCGTCTTGGGCCCCTCCAGAAAATGTGACCCGAATTACCTGGGGGTGATAACACTGGGTGACCCTTTGACCTTTCCTATTTGAGGAAGCTTTAATGTTAGCTACTCATTCACCAAGACACACACGCCAGGGTAGAGGTGTGGGCATTCCAGCATAACCCAGTTTTAAGACACTCGTGAGTATCTGGCATCTCAGATGCGGAACACAGACCATTAACCCTTGGAAATCAGGACTCCTAGGGAATCTTGACAGGAAGAGACCTTCCATTTCCTTTCAGAAGGAGGGAGGCCCACAAGAGCACACCCGGGAATCTGGACAATGGTCTCGATCTGGCGCCTCGGATCTGCTGAGGCAGGGCCGGGCAGGGAGAGGGCTGCTTCTGGTCTGCAGGCGCGCGCCTGCCAGGTCGGCATCTCTCTGTCATTCACTCTGGACCAGAAGGACCTTCCAGTCTCAACCAAGAGTTAAATCTCATTTCCATGCAAGTTACTGCATGGATGTAGAAGACGGAACTTGGGGTTAGGGATAGCAAAGCTTGAAGAGTATGTTTTCTGTGAGTTCCTACAACAAGGAGAGGGAGACTGTTACTATTTTCACCCTGAGACAATGCCGTATCTTGCGAAGAGAGGAGCTTCGGCCATCACTGCTGGGTAAGAGCAGCGCCGCACTGGCACGACAGAGACCCTCCTGGGCACCGAATCCTGCCAAGGCTGGGCGGAGCCAAATGCGAGGGATGGTCACCTCCCACTCACTTGGGGTTCCTTTACCATATAAGTCTGTTTCCTCAGAGCCCTCAAAGGTCTCCACATTAACACCAGAAGCACCAATGTACCCACCCAGGCCAGGATAGCCCTATATTGGAGTCCTGGAGTACTGTCAGATTACCTAAGGGCAGGGAGCTGCAGTCAGTGAACAGTAACCAGTAGCTTCACTTGGAATGAAGCAGAGGACGGGAGACAGAAAGCCAATCAGCTCAGCCCAGTGACGCAGGGGCCTTGCGACTGGCACGCTGTCCCTGCAGCTCTTCTCCTTACTGCTGGGTGACAGCTGGCTCACACGGCGACCTCCAGGGAGGGTGTGCTGGCATGGACTTGGAGTGGGACCTCACACCAAGCACTTAGTTACTGACCTCTGGACAGACCTCTCCAGTTTCCCAACCTTCCACTCCCCACCCCACAGCACAGGCACAGCTGTGGAACACCCTCATAGAGCTGTGGGGAGCACCAAATGAGGATAGTACACATGAGGGGCATGACTGTTAGGCTCTGTGATTACCCTGCCCTGTAGAAACATCCATCCCCTCCCAGTAACGTCTGCTCCTGGTCACCAAAATGGAAAGTTTTAAATGTGTAAATCTCTCCTCAGCTTCTACACTCGTGGATATTGGCAGAGTTCAGGACTTCTGACGACTGCTCTTACAGGGAGGAAAGAGACAACCTGAGCAGAACTTTAGAGGGAGGTCAGATCGGGAGCTGGCTTCTTCCTCTCTTCTCACCATTATCTCCAGTGCTGCCTTCCTCTCCTCCCACCCAAGGGCTTGGAGAGGACCCTCTCCCCGACAGTTTAACCAAGCCCTTACTTCTGCTCTGGTCTCAGATACAGGGTTTGATGACTAAGGTCATAAGGAAGGACAGACTCAGTCACGGGACACCGGTCAGGAGCAGGATCAGGAGCAGACTTGGGACAGAGCTGTCAGAGAAGGGCTCGCCCTCTCCCTCTCCACCCTGGGCCAGGGCAAGCGGCCAGGGCAAGGAAGGAACCACCACATCACATGTTCTTCCTCTCTCACCCTGGCTGGAAGGGACCGCAGCAGGCACAGCCATCTAGAAAGCCCTCAAGAAAGCCTTGCAGGGAGACAGAACAGTGAATGAGCCAGTCAGGAAAGGAAGCAGCAACAAACACCTCACAGGCCCGCTGGCTGTTTCAGCAAGCAAGGCCACTCCTGAATGGCCTCCAGGGCTTGGTCCTTCCCCTGGCAGAACTCAGAGGTAAAAGAGCAAATTCTGAAGGTCTCACCCTGGTCACATGGAGAGGTGGGTGCTGACTTAGATCGATCCTCCTCAGATGGGGAGCTTCCAGAAGCAGGTTGTGGGGACTCGGCACCAGCAATGAGCTAAGAGGGGAAGAGAGGAGGGAAATGGCATCAGAAACACAGGGCTGAGTTTCCTTGAGGTCAGAGGTGTGGGACACAGGACCAAGGGGGTGGCTCCGGTCCACGGAAGAGCAGCCCTCGCTGAATTGATATTCCGAAAGCACAGACCCAAGGTTCATTTGCCAATGAAAGGGAAACAAACAAGACTTCAGTTTGTTCAATTTTTATTCTATCCAAGTATAACTGACCTTTCTAAGCAAAACTCAACCTTATCCCTTCTGTAAACCTCCTTTTCGTGTCCAAGCAATGCCAGTTACTTTATCCAGTTAGTTGGCATTTTCTTTAGCATCTGTTTCGTATTCATTTGCTTAGTTAATATGTGTATCTGTGTACTGTGGGGCTTTCTACTTAGAATGGCTCTATTTTCTTTGAAGGTAAAAGTTCTGTGAGTATTTGTATTGTCTCTAGTCACTTGCACAAAGCAATACACATAATAGATGTTCAACGAATTTCAGATGTCTCCACATTTTAATAGAATACCCCAGTGAAGTCTGTTTCCTGGCACAGATGCTGTCATGCCAACTTTAGGTTTCCATTGAGGTCAGTGACCTGGACTAAGGTCACAAGCAATTCTTTTCCCTTTTACTCCTGACCTACCAGCTCTGTGCACATGTCTTCTCTAGATGTTAACTACTTGCAAGGGGTAATGTAAAGGGAACCACAGTTCCAGAAAGCCTGATGCTCTTGCAAAGAAGCCTGTCAGCTTCTGAACAAAGACACTTCTCTCCCACATTCTCTCCTAACTTGAGCTACTGCTGGGTTCACTCGTTTTTTTTTTTTTTATAACTTTTGCATTAGAAGCATTGAAGCACTATAAATACAGGAGGGCAGTCTCTTGGCTTTTACTTTGCCTCCTCTTGAATTTTTCCATGTTGGCTTCTTACCATTCAGTTTTCCCAAATGAAAGATAAACAGATGATGCTTGGTTATATGTGCTATAGCTCATGTAAATAAGAGGAAGAGGGCAGGTACTGAGTTTTCTTAGAAATGGTTTGTGATGGATAATGAGTCTATCTCAGCTTACTTCAAGCAAGGAAATAAAATATATCCTGGAAAAGGCCCACTCTGGAGCTCATAAATGGGTCTGTCCAACACTGTCATCACAAGGTGTTTGCTTAACCCACCTCATCAGTGGGGCCCTCACATTCTTGGGTGCTGACATTCTGCTGCAATTCCAATGTCTTAGGTCAACAAGTAAAACCCTGTTTCGACTGATAGGATTTACAGTGCTAAGAGCTACCCTCCCAAACTCAGTTAAGCAAGGAGAAGAACATTTTTTTCCCTCCAACTTTTGCAAAACAGCTTTGTTTATTGTGGAGGCAGAGAAGACATTTAAAAGATTGAAGCAATCTAAATCTTCCCGCTCAGGGGGAAAGCCTCTTTCAAGAGGCACCAGAGAAGAGGTGTGGAAAGTATTTAGAGGGAAGGGAAGGAAAGGAAAACACAGAGCCACAAGGTGTTGCAGGACAAAAATTTAGAAGAACATTTCAGAGTCAAGAATGTAGAGGCCCTTGAGGGAGACCTGTCTTCTAGTGCAGACAGAGAAGTGAGGAATGATAAAGGACAAAAGGCCACTGTCCCTGCCCCCATCAGCATTTCTTGTCTCGTTAACATGGTTCTGATTTCTAATAACTTACTTTTTTAAAAGACCTCTCATCTTTTCTCAGCTAGGAGTCAAGAAAAAGAACTGCTTTCAAATGAAGTGCTGCGGATGCCACTACTTCTACTTCCATCTATGGGCCTTGCCACACCAAAATAAGATTGCAGCCAATGGATTCTTCCTACAGACATTGAGAATGTCACCCAGATAGAGAAATGACTCTGGTCTCCAAGGAAAGGCCCAGATGTTTCATGTCATGGGGAAATCAACAATATTCCTGGGGCATGGAGTACCAGCACTATCTCAAGTCTCCTTGGCCGGCTCCCTGCCAAAGAATGCGGCCCCTGCTCTCCAGCCATTTATTCTCATTGCTGTGATACCAGGGGCGAAGTTCAAACATGACATTGCTTTCATGCCAGTTCTGGAGGCAGATAAGTCTATTTCCTTGTGTAGCCTTGGCAGGCTTTTTCTAGAGAAAATTCCACAGTCCACATCCCCAAATTTATGTTCCTCTGAGAGACAAAACACTTGAGACTTGCTCTCCACTTACGCAAGGAGGAGACTTACCGCTACCTGCCTTTTGTTTCTTTCCTTTCAGCACATTTTGTTTTGTGTAGGATGGCAACCTGGCCAGCTTATAGCCTCACTCCAGGGTGCTCTCAGGAAACCAGCACAGAGGAGCTGCCCACAGAGACCCAGAACACCTCAGGGAGCCTGCTACCTTTTTCCTCCTTTGGCCACTGTTGGTGATCTTGTCTGGAGTGACACCGAGGTCAGCCAGCACTTTGGCGATGCCTCGGGCGTCCACCCCACAGTTGGGGGCCACATTGGTCTCACAGCGCCGGTGGACGTTCATCTTGCAGACTGTAGGGAGAAACAGAGAAGACACTTCCAATGTGTGTGGTCTTACTTGTTACCTAATAGTTTTGTCTGATTGTTAAAGTAATAATACATGGTCATTTGGTAGCATCTGGAAAATTCAGAAGGACAAAAGGAGGGGTAAAAAAAAAAGACATCCGTTATTTCATTGCACAGAATTAAAATCACCCATCAAACTACCATACAGAGATAATCACTGCTCCTAATTCCTTCCTTCCACTCATTCTTTTTACTAGTATATAGTAAGTATGGATAAATAATAAATATTAGATTCAAGGTTCCTTTCAGGAAGCAGAACACTGACTAGAAGAGAACTTGCTTGGTTTATCTGAAGACAGTTTACTTGGAGTTTGAACCCGATGCTCCCCTGTGGACAGTCCATTCTCCTGCTCTGATAAATGCAGGAACACGACCGAGAGAGAAACGCCCACCGTGCAGCCTGTCAATACTCATCAATGAGGTCAATGAGATTGATCAATGAGGTCACCTCCAAGGCCCCGTTCCGATCCCAAGTCAAACTGCAAAGGAACAAAGAGCAGGCTCCGATGGCTTTGCCTTGTGCACATCACACAGTTGCCCTTGGTGAAGGACATCAAAGATGGAAACCAGCAGTTTGGGGGTCCCACGTCAGGGGTATGGAAGTCATCACTGTAGCCTAACAATTAAAAAGCTGCATGGACTGGGAAACCAACAGCTCTTCTTATATTGATCACAGGAGTCAGGTCACAGAGCAAACTGTGGCCCCTCAAGCTAAGACAGACAGAAGAGAATCATGACAACCAGAGCAGGAGCTCCCGAGCAGCAGCCTGTGTGGGATGTGCCGGTGGCTGATGTGGGGAGAGGGATGGTAACTCAGAGCACACAAGGCCAAGAGTCAAAAACCTATTGTCACAGGGGCAACCTACACTTTTATTTAATTTTTTAAACATTTATTTTTTTGTACATACAGAATTGGGGTGCAGGCCAGATGTGCAGGGACGGTGAGAGGCTTCACCAGAGACAGAGTGGGGAGCAGAACAGGTGGACTGAGTAAAATACACTGCTGAGGGGAGCAGCTGGTGGGCCAGGAGAGGTCTGCCGCACCATGTGGGTCACCTCCCTGGCTGGGATCTAATTCCTGCTACAGTGGCAGGTGATAGCTTGATAGTGCTGTCTTTAACCCCGGTGCCACCAGGGAGGCCCAACCCACACTCTTTGTAAATTTCAACTGCATACACTTGACCAAGACCTCACAGTGATGACAGATAGCCTCTCAGAGAGGAACTCAAAGGATCCATTTTGGAATATTCCAGGAAGGCCTGCTCTCTGGAGAAGGTCGCTTACCAGAACTTAAGCTAATGGGATTTGTGTCAGATCTTAGTGGACCTGAGGGAAGAAAATGGCCAACTTCAGCCTACTTAGCCTTCCATTCCAAACACCAGTTCCCTCCAATCACCCAGTCCTACCTATGGGTGAGGAGAAAGCCCTAAGATGTTCGCAGGATTCAGAGGCACAAGCCTCTGACTCACAGAACCAAAGAATACTTCCCCTCCCTCACAGCTCACCCCCACACTATAAAGGCCTATTTACTCCAGTTCCTTTCACCAGATACATCATGTTCAGCTTATCAAGAAAAAAAGTACAAAGCATACCAAAAGGCAAAAAGTTCGAAGAGATAGGGCAAGCATTAGATACAGACAGGGCAGGGTGGCTGGAATGATCAGACCAGGGGTTTAAATAACTATGATCCATGTGTTAAGTGTTCTAATGGACAAAGTAGACTGTGTATAAGAACAGATGGACAATGTAAGCAGAGATGGAAATTCTAAGAAAGAATCAAAAGGAAAAGCTCGAGATCAAAAAACTTTATTAGAAATGAAGGTTGTTGACAGGCCCATTAGTAGCATGAACACGTGAGGAAAGAATGTCTGTGCTTGAGGATGTGCCAATAGAAATTTCCAAACTAGAAAAGCAGAGGGATAAAAGACTGAAGATAAGAAACAGAATATCCAAGAACTGGGAGATAATTATAAAGGTTGTAACAAATGCCTAGTGGAAAGCTAGAAGGAAAAGAAAAGAGAGAAAAGAACACAAGAAATATCTGAAACAAAAACTGATTTGAGAAGGCCATCAAATCAATGTCAGGTGTCAAACCACAGATTCAAGAAGTTCAGGTTATACCAGCTGGGATGACTGAGAGAGAAATACCCACCAGGCAGTGTGTTAAGTTACCCCCAAGCCCAATAAACCACACCTAAGTGTATCACATACAAACTGCAAAAACTGAGCATTAAAAAAACTTGAACAAAAATCTTGAAAGAAACTAAAACACATTACCTACAGAGAAGCAAAGATGGAGTTACATCTGAATTCTCAAAACCTGCAAGCAAGAATAGGTGAAGTATTTAAAGTAGGACAAGAAAAACCAAAACTACCAATGCAGAATTCTGTGCCCTGTGACATTACCTTCCAAAGTGAAGGAGGAATATAAGACTTTCTCAGGTGAATAAAAATTGAGGGAGTTTGTTGACAGTAGCATTTTCTGTAACATTTCTTGTCATAAATCTTAAAAGAAATTCTTCAGAGAGGAGAAAAATGTTAGAAAGTCAGATCTACATAAAGGAAAGAAGAACATTGGAGGAAGAGCAAGTGGTAAAACTAAAATTTTATTTTTCTTTTATTAAGTGATCTTACAGAAAACAGCTATCTCAAAATGCTAACAGCAAGAATATATTTGATTATATATACTTACATCTACATATACAAGTGAAATGAATGTGAGCAATGAGATAAAGGATGGAGGAAATAGGATTATTTTGTTATGATAAGGTACTTTTACTATCCATGAAGCTTTGGGTATTATCTGAATGTGAATTTGGATTATGTAAATATACATTGCAAACTCTAAAGTAACCATCAAATGAAGGAAATGAACAATACCTAGTATACTAAGAGAGAAAGTAGAAGCATATAAAATGTTTAATTAAAACCACAAAAGGCAGAAAAGGGTTGGAAAGCAAAACAAGAACAAAGAACAAGAGCAACAAATATAAAATAGTAGCAAATAGGGAAGTTACTGAAATGTCGATTAAAAAGAGATTGGGCCCCCCTGGTGGCGCAGCAGGTCAAAGTTCAGCACTGCTAGTGAACCACAGTCACTTCAGTGCAAGTCGATCCCCAACCCAGAGGTGACCCACATGGCAGGCAGATCCCTCCTGACCAGTCCACTGCTCCCCTCAGCAGTGTATTTCAGTGTACCTGCCTGTTCTGCTCCCCACTCTGTCTCTGGTGAAGCCTCTCATCCCCCACATGCACCTCTGGCCTGTACCCCAGTTCTGTATGCATAAATAAATAAATCTTTACAAAAAACAATTGTCAGTGATCAAAAAACAAGACCCAATTGTACATGGTATACAAAAAAATGCACTTTATAGCTAAAGACATACATAGATTAAAGTCGAGAGAATGGAGAAATATCTTCCATGTTTACACTAATCGAAAGAAAGCAGGACTTGCTATATTAATTTCAGACAGGATCAGTATAAAAAAATCTATCAGGGATAACACGACAAAGAGGTCAATTCTCTAAGAAGACTGAACTGTTCTTTATTATCCTAACAACAGAATAGCAAAATATAGGCGGCAAAGATAGAATTGCAAGTAGAAATAGATGATTCCATTATTATGATTGGAAACTTCAATATCCCTCTGTCAGAATGAACAGATCCAGAGGCAGAAAATCAGTAAAAACTCAGTTGAAGTCAGCAATACCATCAGTCCACTAACTCTAATTGAAATCCATTGACTACTCTATCCAACAACAGCAGAATAGATATTCTCTTCCAGTTCACAGGGAATGTTTACCAAGATAGATCACATTCTGAGTCATAAGACACCACTTAAATTTAAAAGGTTCCAACTCATACAATGTCTGTTCTCATAATAGAGAGGCATTGAAATAGAAACGAGAGTTGGAAAATCCCCAAATATTTGGTATTTAAATAACACACTGTTAAATGACACAAATGTAAAATTTCAAAAGACACTGAAAATATGTTAAAATATGTTAAATATGTTTGAAAATTAAAAGATAACATTATAATTAGCAGGACACAGGGAAAGCATCCTTGAAAAATACAACCTACAAACCTCACACAAGAAATAGACACTGTGGCATGCCTAATGAGGCAAAGAAATAGGATTAATCATTAATAATCTTCCCAGCTAAAAGTACCAAGGCCAGAAGAGTTCACTGATGAATTCTACCAAATTTTGAAGGAGGAAATTATACTGATTATCTACAATATTTTTCAGGAGACGGTAGCATACAGAGTTTTCCTTTATGCTCTTTATGAGACCAACATTATCCTAATATGATATTACAAGAAAGACAACGGCAGTCAAATATTTCTCATGAATTGAGAAGTAAAAATCCTCCACATAATATATGCAAATTGAACTTAACCATATGTAAAAAGAACAATACACCATGACCAAGTAGGACTTATCTCAGATATATATTTGAAAATCACTTAAAGTGATCACATCAACAGCTAACAAAGAAAAAAAGTACATAATCCTATCAATAAATGTAGAAAAAGCATTTGACAAAGTCCAACATTCACTCACTCGTGATAAAAGTATCTCAGCAAAACAAAAAGAGGGGAAACTTCCTCAACTTGATGAAGAACCGCTACCAAATTGTACAACTAATATCATATTCAGTGATAAAAACTTCCTTGATGAAATCAAGAAGAAGGCAAGGATGTGCCCTCTCACTACTCTATTTCATTACTATGTTGTCAGTACTAGAAGAATGAGCTAATGTCAGACTCTACACAATTGCAATCAAAATCTTAGTAAGTTATTTTGTGGAGACTGACACACTGTATCTAAGGTTTACATGGAGAAGCAAAAGGCCCAGAATAGTGAATACGAATAGTGAATACGATACCGAAGGACAAAATCAGAGGATGGACAGTACCAAATTTCATGACTTAAATAAAGCTACAGCAATTAAGACAGTGTGGGCATTCGTGAGAAAGTGGACAAATAGACCAAGGGAATGGAATAGACCACAGAAAGAGACAAAATACAGAGCCTATCTTTAACAAAGGAGCGAAAACAATACAAGAGTGGAGGTCGTTTTTCCTACAAGTATTATGGAACACCTGAACATCCACTTGCAAAAAATTAACCTTCACACAGATGTTTCACTATTCACAAAAATTAACTCAAAAAGGACCACAGACCTAAAATAAAATGTAAAACCTATGAAATGTGTAGATGATAGCATAAGACAAAACCTAGGTAGCCTTGCCTATGGTGATCTTAAAATACAGCATTGTGATTGATGAAAGACATCATTGGACTTCATTAAAAATTAAAAATTCTTCCTTCTAGAATGAAAGGACAAGACACAGGCTGTAAGAAAATATGTATATGGAAAGGACATATCTGATAAAGGACTGTTGTCCAAACAGGCAAAGAACTCTTAAAATGCAACAACATAGCAGAGTGCCCGACTCGGTTCTAGACAACCCAATCTAAAAATGGGCAAAAGAGGGCCTCCCTGGTGGCGTAATGGCTTGAAGCACAGCACTAGGAAGCTAATGCAGCCACTGCAGCATGCATTGGATCCTGGCCAGGAGCTGACCCAAGTGCCACAGCAGTCCTCTCCTGTCATGCCTGCTGCTCCCATCAGCAGTATATTTCAGGAGACCTGCCTATTCTGCTCCCCACTCAATTTCTGGGTCCTCTCACCCCCTGCACCTTTGGCCTATACCCCAGTTCTGTATGTATAAATAAATAAATCTTTTCTTAATATGGGCAAAAGACTTGAACAGAAACCTCACCAGAGAGGATGTGCAGGTAGCACACAAGCATATGAGAAGCTTCTCAATGTCACATCACAGGGAACTACAAATTAAAAACAATAATGCTACACCACTATCCAGCTATTAGAATGGGCAAGATCCAAAATACTGGCGACATCAAATGCTGGTAGATGACAGGAATTCTCTCATTCATCATCCGTGGGAAAGAGTTTGGCTATTTCAACTCTACTCCTACCATATGGTCCAGCATTCTGTTCCAAATGAGTTGAAAAAACTTATGTCCATGCCAAAGCCTGCACTTGAGTGAGTCTGAAGATGAGATGCCTTTAGGGCCGCAGTATTGATTTCCAGATACTGATAAGTATCAACAAATATCCTTGTTGACCGAAAGTATTCATTGACATATTCAGGGTAATCAAGCTCCCTAGTGGCATCTTCCTCAGAGTACAACTATTCTGAGGAAAAAAATAATTGCAGCATTCAAAAATAAAAACAGTGTATCTTTACAAAATGTGAATGCAGATATTTATAACAATTTATTTAAAACTTGGAAGCCACCAACTTAGTAACATTTATTTAAGGTTCCTCCACATCTTTTCATGATCGAATAGCTAATTTATTTCTAGTGTTGAAGAGTGTTCCATTATGTGAATGGGCCAGTGATTTAGTCCGTCACTCACCTACTACCTGGATATCTTAGTTGCTTCTAAATGACATATTAAATGTTTCCAACTTTATGTTTTTCTAGAAAAGTAAAACTATTGGAAATGGTAGAGAGGTCAATGGTTGCCAAGTTAGGGGAGGGGGGGGGGATGAACAGGCAGAACACAGTGGATTTTTAGGGCACTGAAATTATTCTATACGATACTACAGTACTGGGTACAGGACATCATAAATTTGCCCAAGTCCTGGAGAATCTAACACAAGAGTGACCCAGATGTAGACTGAGTAATAACCATGTGTCAGTGTAGGCTGGCTGATTCCAACAAGCACCCCCGGTGCTAGAGATGCTGATACAATGGCAGCGAGACCGTGTCCGTACCGGCCCCTTGACTTGGCTGTGGACCCAAAACTGCTATAAAAGTGAAAGCCTACTTTCCAAATAACCTGTTTCTGAAATAAAACCAGGCAGCTAGCCAGACTCCTGCTGCAATGCGTGGCTCAGTCACTAGCCTGGAGGGAGGACGGCACAGCCCCCCAACCCACGGTGGAAGAACACTAAGCCATGTTGCTGAAGATGTTCAGAGTCAAAGGTGGGTTTGGGGACAGGCACGGGTGGGATGGGGCTGTCTCAGACAATGTTAGGAACCACGCACGCTCCCCTGCAGCCTGGTCATCCCACTCCCTCAGCGGATGGGGTCTGCAGCTTCCCAGGCAGGTCGCATACACTGGGGAACAGCTCCCTGCTCTGAATTCTCAGACCTGCTCCCCTAGTAACAGCTGCCATTTGACACTCAATTCCCCCTTCCTGCTCCTGCCCACCAACACAGGTGAAAACCCTCTTCTCTCTCTTTTGGAGGTGACAGAAAGGACAAGGACTAAGCCACTGAATTAAGAGAATTTACAAAGGGCAACTTGGCTATATAATAATTTAGCCACTGGCGCCCTCTGGCGTTGAAAGTCTGGACATGTCTTTTCTAACTAAACAGCTTGAAGGGCAGATGAGCAAGCTGGAAATGGTCTTTGCAGCCTCCATTTTCTATTTTTAAAGACTCTCCTATTTCCTTGCGAAAACAATGCAACTGTCTTACTATGTGAAAAGAAAAATCCTAACAATGTGTCAGCTCCCATGGATTTAGAAAATGTCCAGAAATTGAGGCAGTGTGGACTGACAAGGAAGAACTTGAGACAAGGGAGGCAGCCACAGAGTTGGGCCCTCAGTGGCTGGGGATGACTCGGAGACTGAAGACCACTGAAAGAAGGTGGGTGTAACAGCCAGGACCAAAAGAAGCCTGAGGCTCATTCTCCGTAGGGCTGAGCAACCACTCAAATTCCAACCCACCCCCTTCCGCCACCATCCACCATCTTGGCGCTCCAAGGTCAGGGTTAAGTTCTGCCTTTTGATAGCTTCTCTTCCAGGCTGCTGCTTGTTCACTTTCACCTAAGGTTTCACTTGGAACAACTATGGTGGGGAGAAATAGCACTTTGCTCTTTTAAAGGAAGAATCGTCATTCTGTCTCTTCCCAATTATTTGCCCACAGTCTGTGGACTGTGGAGCTGTAGGAACCCTGCAGGTCCGGGGTGGGGCTGCCTGCAGCAGTGTCTTCCTCAGAAAGGGGGAAGAGGAGGTTGGAACACTGAATTTCACTTTCTATCATCCATCCCGCCATCCTGGGGAGAGATTTTGTTTCTCTGTGGCCCACCCTTTGCACAGCTGAGACTGCAGTGAGGTGGGACAGGCTGTTGGGAATTCTTCCAAAGCAAGCACTGGACTTGAGAACAATGTCAAAGGCACGCCTGGGAAGAAAGGGAGGCCTGTGTGTCCCTACGACATCTCCAACTTCATTTTAGGGTGACTCGGCCCTTGAGGATGAACCAGGGCAACGGTTTATGTCATAACAAGTTCCAGTTGGCCACGCCAGGCCTTGGGACAGAGCATAAATTATGGTGAATAGGAAATGTGTGGTTGCATAATGGAAGCTGGCAGGGGCAGGAGAGTGACTAACTGCAGGGGCTTGGGCAGATGAGAGGGGGCCATCGAGGGAGCTCTTGAGGGTCATGCCAGGTACCACATGTCACCAGATACTCGGGGTGCTCATCACACTGAAACCATTCAGACCTTTCCAGAGACTGTGCTTGGCCAACTGTGCTACCCAGGGCTTCCTAGGAGGAGCAGGCTCCGAGTCTTCCATCTACCCGCCTCTAGGGGGCGTCATCCTGGCGCCCGGCAGCGCTGGTGGCTACTGCAAAGGACTCGGAATCAAGCGAGACTGGCATTTCAGTGCTGGCGGGGGAGTGTTCCTCCCTCCCTATCCTCTACACAGAACTGGTTACCTTTTAAACGTCTTCCTCCTCCTGTCCTTCCCCTCCCCCAAGCTGTAAGTTAAGCTCACCTTCCCCCCAACCCCAAAGCCTGTTCTGATCACCCAAATCCTAACGTCCTCTCTTGCCTACAAATGGCTCACATCTGTTCTGACTCACTGCTTGAATGACTGTTTATTATTTAATTCATTATGTTTAATGTCTAAGTAGGGTGCAAATTTCTAGAAGGCTAACACAATATTTGATCTCCAAATTTTCCATGATGGCTTACACAAACCAGAATACCCTGTTTTTCAGCGCATTCGAACTCAGAGGATATTAGTGATACTGGGGCAGCATGAATAACAATTTTCAGATGAGAACCCAACCGTTCATCTTCCCAGGGGACCTTCATTACACAAGCACTTTCTGATCAAGCAGAATTAAATGTCAATGCAAAAGAAGGTAAAGCCGTCAGTTCACATGACTTAAATTTAACATGCTGTCAGGAGGGAGGGGTGCGTGGTGTGAGCGTGAGGACAGGGCACCGGGCACCTTACCTTTGCACTGCAAGCCCTGTCGCAAGAGGCCCCAGAGCAAGGACCCGCAGTGGTCGCAGAAGGTGGGCACCTTGTAGTTGTGGATTCCAAACTTGTGGGGCATGTTGACGCTGAACCTCTGGGAGCCCACCTGCAGGGACAGCAAAACAAAGGGTCACCCCCAGCACCTGTGCCCTGGGGTGCTTTCCCAGAAGGTGTGCTCCTGGAGGGCCGGGACCCCACTCGGCTCAGAAAGCTGCCCTGAGAAGCAAGGTGGAGAGCCTCCATCTGCTCCAGCCTGGCTCCGCCCTCCCCCGCCCTGCTGGACTTTGGGGGCCTGTCCAGGCTTTCAGGTCCAGCTCCCACGCACACAGCACTCCATGGCCGCCTCCCATTTTGACCAGTAATGTGATGTCACTGTGCACTTTGCATTCTGTTTTTGTGCATGGAAACCTCCCCTAGATGGGCTTCTGGCAGAGGAGCAGTGAGTACAGGATTCTATAAACACCCTCAGGCCCCAGTGCGGTTTTTGGTTTTTCCATCGCAGAGACCACAGAGTGACTCAGGACAAACGGTGACGGCCAATGAGGCACAAGGGCTGCTGAGGGCCGACCACAGGCCTAACACGCCCGCACACACTAAACTAAGCTCTGTCCCCAGCAGCCCTCACCGCTCTCTGGGGTAGGCACAGGCATTGGCCCGGGTTTACGGATGAGGAAACGGCAGGGCAGTGAGGTTCAGTGTGCTGGTCTACTTATGAGGGGCCTATGGGTCCCAGTGCCGGTGAATCCAATTGCAAATCCACTCTCTGCTACTCAGTGATTATTTAAAAGGTTAAGGCAGGCGCTGGGAAAGGGGGCGTGCCTGGGGGCAGCAGTGTCCCAGTTCCTGACCAGGGTCTGCGGGAGCCACCCACAAGGCCTCAGGCAATTTTCCTGACTTCATGGGCTTAGTCCTTACCTGGAAAATGGGGACAGCAACCCCGTCCCACCTAAGGTCACAGGAGGTAGAAGGGTGGGAAGCTATCGCTCTGCAGTACTTAAGCAAGGGGTCATCACACTGTCTTTCGGGGGTTTCCTGACCCCCCCCCCACTCCCAGGTACTCTGCCCCTGTGCCTCTGGGGCTGCAAGAACCACGCCCTTCTCAGAAAGTGCTGAGACACCAGCAAGGCTCGATGGCCTGGGAGAAAGTCACTGTGGCAACTCTGGGAGTCAGGGAGGAGGAAACGGGCAGCTCACTGCTGACAGCCAGTGGAAGTGCCGTGGAGGGCCAAGGAGCCAGGTGGCGTGGATGTGATGTGTGCTCAAGCCAAGACACGCAAGCAGGCCTGTGCGTGAGCACGCCCAAGGGGCCCTGCTTCCCACCACACAGCAACAAAGAATGGCCTAGCCTCCCACTGGACCAGAATTTCTCTGCCGCCTGCTCGAAATGCACAGGCTATGAGCTGGAGAACAGTGCATGGGAGAGTGAAGGCGCAGGCCACTGGGGCAGATGCCATGGTCGGCAGGCCACAGCACACACATCTGCAGCACACACACATAGTGTCCCACTGAGGAAGACTCCAGAAGAGGGGCAGGTGAGACAGGGAGGACTCAGGGAGGAGGGAAGGGCAGAAACACGATGATGAGCTGAGTGAAGGAGGAAAGGAAGGAAGGAGGGTGACAAAGATCATTTCTTGGTCACCACACCCAGAAGAGAAGGGAGGGCGTGAGACCTGAGACTGGGCGATGGTCCTAGCAAGTCTCAGGTGCAAAAGCTCAGAGGAGCCAGTCAGCGGGAGTCTGCCAGGGGTGGACTTGGATGCCCGGCGTTGACACCTGCATGTGCATGGTGTGCGTGTGAATGATGGAGGCAAGGCAGCTGGATGCAGCCGGTTGCATGACAGAATGGAAGGTTGGTCACTCTCAAAGGCTGGTCTCCAGCAATGCTGCATGTGACTGAGGGCATGCCCATGGTCCCTTCACCCCGGAGGGACAGTGGCCTCAGACAGCAACTCTTCCCCAACCCCTACCAACTTATCTCCCTTGGGTCACATGCCCGGCGCGGGGGCACACTCGCTGGGGCCTCCCACTGCCCAATGTGATGGCAGGAAAGGCAGAAGAGCCTGGGGCTGATGAAGCAGGGTTCTGTGCCCGGCAGGGCCCAACCCACCCATCTGCTCAGCTTGGCCTCAGAGGGCACTCTTCCCTTCAGGGAGCTGTGAGGGTTAGGAACCTGTAAAGGTTCATAGTTAATGCAATGGGTCAGATTCCAAGGGTGAGTGGCACAGCATGTCTCTGTTTCTGTGGGACATGGCATAAGTACCCAACACATCTCAGTGGATGTTCAGTAGAATGCCCAGCGGAAGGCCGGCAGAACCCTGCCAGCAAGCCAGCCACAGCTTTCTTTATTTAGATGTGAAGTGAGCAGCTGAAGCAGGGCCCTGGGTGGACCCTAGACCAGGAGTCAGGAGACCCAGGTGCTGACAGCTGGCTGTTTCCAGTACCCCCAGGACCTGCAAACAGTGCTGGTGCCCAGGGCTCCCTGCGCTTCAGGGATACGGAAGATTCCACATAGGCTTCAAACTTTGCTGTTTTCTAGAGATGGTATGAAATCAAATGTGGATTTTAAAAATTGAGAAATGCCTTTGGACGCCAAGATGTCATTTGGTTTTATTTATGAAGCAGGTAGAGGCTCTCTATAAGTCACTCCTTTTAGAAACCAAATTATAATTCCACTTGATTAGAGCCCCCACTGATGCCATGCACCCCCACCCCCAGACTTTTCTCTCTGACCCCCAGCTCCAATGGCCTATGGTTATGTGCACGTTGCTTCGTTGGGAATTGAAAGCATGCCTTTGAGAACAGCTGTGTGAGCACACATATCTGCACGCATGCCATCATCTTCCAAAAGGCTTTTTGTCCATTAGTGGCACTGGCAATCCCTTAGTTTGGAGGAACCTAGCTTCACTGTTGAGGTTTCCTGCTCCCTCACCACTGGGCCCTTCCCTAATCTTCAGCTGGATGCTAGTTTCTAAGTTTAAGAGACCACATAGGTCAAGGGTGTGGATTCGGGAACTGGATGATTGGGTTTGAACAGGACTTTCACCTTCTAGCTGTATGATCTGAGGCCATTAATTTGATCTCTCTGTGCTTGTATTCTTTCTGTGATAAAATGAAGATGGTAAGAACATCTTGTTATCAAGGTAGTTATGGGATTCAACAATATATGATAAAGCACTTAAATCAGGGCATGCAGAATACCCAGAGGGTGTTGGCTGCTACCATCACTGTGGCACTTCACCCCCCTAAGAGTTTCTTGGCTTGGCCGATTCTGCCCCCTCTGCACCACCCCGTGAAGCCAAGGTTCTTGCTCATGTGAACAGTCTCACTGCTCAGGAGCTACTGGGAGCCATGGACCCACCAGTCAACCACTTCAACTCTGATGAGACAGGCACAGAAGAATCAACATTTTCCTTGTGGGCTTCACCACTGGCACCACGCAGCTCTTGGCATCATAGCCATGGGCAGACAGTGGCCTCTGGGCTGTGCCTCCTCCAGAAGGCCACGGACAACTCCCTTAGTTTGTGACCCACACAATGAGGACAGCAGAGCCATCGGAGAGAGATAAGGAGGCAGTGGAGGGTGGGGGTGGGCAGTGAGGAGGGCCCAGAACATCAGCTTGTAAATATTTACCTCATCAGGAGCTTCCTGCTTCTTTAATCCAGCACACTTCGTAATGATCAGCTCGTGGCATCGCTTGTGGACCACACACGTGCAAACTGCAAAGGGGAAAACACAGGCAGCTGAGGGGCTAGGGAGAGGCTCCTTCCAAGAGCTACTCAGGCTTGGTGGGTAGAGGGGAAGGGAGGCCAGGCCCCTTGGTCACTGAGTCTTAGTGTGACAGCCAAGTGGAGGCCCTACATTGTCATCTCCAAGCGCTCTGTCATCAGAACCCTGAGGGCTTTCCTGCCAAGGGCTCTGGAAAGGCCCCCTTTCTATTCGGGGGACTGCATTTGCTCTAGTTTGAGAAGCACTGGGCAGTTGCCTTGCTTCTCCACGTCCAGTTCAGGGAACCATTTCTTCCACGAAGCACTGTCTATTAAAAGCATTGCAGCTGCTCCCCAGGATCATGTTGGGGTGGCTGGTGTGACAGGGAGGCCACTGTAGGGGCGTGGATGTTTTGTGGTACAGAAGTTCTTCTGCTTTTTGCTATTTGTACCAGCCTTACATGCTAAGCTTAAACGTCTCCTTTTAATTCAGCAGCTCCACAAGAAGTGGCCAGACACTCTGCTTTAACGTCCTGGGGTAGTGTGGACGGCAGGTGGCTGAAGAGCCAATGTCTGCACACAGAAATGCCCAACAGAACTGTCTGAGTCCCCAGGGCTGAGACCCGAGTCCACGGCGGCTGGCTGTGCAGGGGTGGCCCACCAGAGGGAGCCACGGAGCAGCCAGCCCTGTCCGCCCCACACATTCATCCCCAACTCTGGGCTGCTTAATGTACTTGTAGTCAACTGACTCAAGACAAATCTCAACAACTTCTAGTAAGTTTTAAATGCTTAGGAATGAATGATTCCACAGCAGAGACAAGAAAGGCACCTGCACCACCAGGATAGTGACAGCGCCATGCTCTCTAGCCGGGGAGGCCCCGGGGGCACCTGGAGATGGGTGGGGCCCACAGAGCCTCCCCTCCCCCACTCCCATATATGCATGTGGGAGTAGTGGCCAGATAGACCCAGAGAAAGCAGGGTCTGCGTCTTGGGGAGGGACATGAGCATGAAGCCTCTGAACAGGACATCTACATGTCACTAACCTAGCTGGTCTGGGCTGACCTGTGGGCCCCACGGATTCCAGTCATTCGATACCTCTTACCTTGACATTGGTATCCCTGCTTTCCTATGACACCCCTGAAAAGAAGAAATAGCACTTTAGTGGGTGAGAAATGACACCAAGTCACCCCATTCTGCCCATCCCCCAATGCACCCTATACTTTGGAGTCTGTGTAGCAGTGTTACCTTACTCTCACTTGTAGGGTGCCTTAAAGTGACTCCATAGAAGGCCCCCAGGGCATCCCCAGTGCTTAGAATGGCTGCAAGATGTGGCCAGTGTCAAGGCTTGGCTTCCCAAACAAACAGCTGTTCCAGCGAGGCCAGCAGTGTTCTGGAAAGTCATGAGCCGCTGGCTCTGGGCAGCCCTCCCTTATCAACTTGCCTTTCCATGTGGATAATGGTGCAGATGGGCCCAGCAGGCAAGAGTATCCCCTGGGCACACCAGAAGCAGTCAAGGTGTTTGCGTCAATATGTGGCCAGCACAAGGGGTTTAATCTACCCCCCAGTGGATGGGATGAAGGCCAATGTCAGAGCTTCATTGTAGTGCCAGAGTGGGGTTCCCAGGTTTAGGGTCAGCACACACAAAGAACAGTCCAGCCAGCCCAGCCTGAGCCCTGTCCTCAGTGCACCCAACAGGTCAGAGAGCTGCCTGCAATGCCCAGTCCAGTAGGAAGTGCCAGAAGCCACTCTGGAGACAGGTGGTGTTCATGATGGGAATAGAGGAGACCCGCAGCTTTAAGACTAAACTTTCAGAGCTGCTCATCCCAAACACAGTTCATGACTAACACAAAGGAAGCAGGGGCCAGAGGGTTAAGTCAGCACTGTGAAGGAGATGTGTCTTTGGGTGGGAGTGGGGTGTTTTTCTACTGCAGCCAGGTTAAACTTGCTCTGAGCCTTGTCCTCTCAATGTCCATGACAATCTCAGTGGATAGTTCTGGTATACCATGAGGATCAGAAAAGTCACACTGGACAAGCTGGGAATCCAAGGGGGTCTCAGAGGCCGATTCAATTATCCCTTGGCTGGGTACATTCTGTAACCTGGCCCGTCACTGTTCCCCCTCGAGATCCAAGAGTGTTGACAACCTCCATGTCAGTTTCAAAGAGCTCAGAGAGTTGCCTGAAAGGGGCATCAGGAAAAACATGAGCTTTAGGTAGAACGTGGGGTGGAATTAAGCCTTTAACACTTCCTAGCTTTCGGACCTCAAACCAGTCTCACTTTCATTTCTGAGCCTCAGTAGTGTTAGAAAAATAGAGTTAATAGTACACAGTTCATTGGATACTGGGAATATTCACTGGCTACTTACAGTACTGGAGGCATATGGTAGGTATTCACTCTAAGCTCTCCTTGTCTTTCTCTGCCTCCCAAAAAGGTCTATCTAGTTCTGCCTATCAACTTACCAGTTATCATGAAAGGAAAAAATACCACCTCCTCCAGGAAGCCTTCCCTGAGCATTCTGGCCCACACTAGTCCCTCATTCCCCTGAAATCTTAGCACCTCTGCAGAAGGCCAGCTATAATTACAAAGAACTGCTTTGTAGTACAGATATGGGCATGTGAGTATTTTTTAACCTTAAGGAATAATTCAAATGTATATAAACATAGGAGATGAATATAATGTTTCAACAGAGATCTGGCTAGTCTTGTTTGTTTTCAAACTCTAGCCCCTATTTCCTCCTAGATGATTTTTTAACAAATCCAGACATCGTATCACTTCATTTGTGAGTAATTCAGTTTGTTTCTGTAAAAGATAGGAATACTTTAGAAAAGCATACAAATCATACCTTTAATTGGTCATTAAATTTTAACTCCTTAAATATGATACATCATATGGACCCTCTCTGGTGGCGCAGCGGGTTACAGCGCAGCACTAAGAGGCTGAAGCCGCTTCAGCATGAGTTCGATCCCCACCTGCCCCGAGGTGACCCACATGGCATAGCAGACCTCTCCTGACACGCCCGCTGCTCCCCTCAGCAGTGTACTTCCGTGATCTGCCTGTTCTGCTCCCTACTCTGTCTCTCGTGAATCCTCTCACTGCCCCTGCACCTCTAGCCTGTACCTCAGTTCTGTATGCTCAAATAAATAAATCTTTAAAAAATATGTATGATACATGATATGATCCCAAGTATCATCACTAGGAACCATAGTTTCTTCTACCTACTTATCCCACCCTATGCTATACACTCCCTTAACCTTCCCGAGCAGTCTTATGCAATCAAACAAAGAAGAAATAAGGAACCTTCGCACTTTTTATATCAACTTTCAGACCTTCTGTATCTACCCCCGACCTCTGACTACAGAGAAGACACAATGCGAGGTTCCCGGAAGAGAGGCCTTACCAGATAAAATCTCTGCAGTGGGAGCAGTAGGTGGGCTGCCGAAGGTAGGTGGCCATGAACTTGTGGCCGTTGACCTGGTGGACCCTGCGTCGGACGGCCCCCTGCCGCTTCCTGGGCCGCATGCGCTCCCTGAACACACGCTCTTCATTGTCTTTAGGGGCTGAAGGACAAGAGAGAGCAGAGAAGAGGACACAGGTGGGTGGGTTAGTGCAGCTGGAAACTTGAACGTGACCTCCAATGGGACCGCTTCCTGCCCTCTGTCCTCCTCTGGGGGTGGGAATGGCTATGGCACAGTGGTGGCTGCTGGAAGGACTCAGGGGTCACAGGAACCTCACTGCTTGGCTCCAGGGGTGAACATTACAGCGGGTGGGGAGGCCCAGACTTCACGCTCCTGCCTCAGCTGCACCCTCAGCATCCACCCACCCCCAGCTTTGCTCCAGGCACGGCTGCTCCATTCCGCTCATACCAGTGGCCACTGCAGGGGCCTGGAGTCACAGAGCTCCAGCTTCAAATCTTACGGCAACTTCTGAGCCTCTGCAGCCTGGGCCTCTGTGCCCAAGGAGTGGACTAATAGATGATAATGGCTAAGGTTTACCGAGAGCCTGCTCCGGGCGTGTGTCTGGGTGTTACATGCAGTAACCCACCCCACTTGAACACATGGTTATTACCCCCATTTCATGGGGAGCAGAGTTTCAGGAACCTGTCAATAGAGTGACTAATAGTGGAGCCCAAATTTTAATTCAGATTCAGAGGCCACGGTCCTCACACTGGCCCAGGAGAGCCGGCTCTCCCTGCAGCGGGTCCCTCGCTCTCCGCAGAGTGGCGCCCACTGTGGGTGAGTCCAGCCGCCCCAAGGCAGAGGAGGCAGGCTCTGATGCCTCCAGAGTCTCTGCTGCAAAGCTCCCATATGAGAACCAGGCAGGGGTTTACTCCAAGAGCATCGCATCAGCCCCCAGAGATGGGGGTGGAAGGACAGTAAAACTGAAGGAGACGGGAAAGGACAGAAAGCAAAAGCCCAGCACCCCTGTTCCGAAAAAAGCAGCTCTAAGCACGCAGGCAGAGCTGGTTATTGAGAAGCTATGCTGGGACCTCCCTATGCATCAGCCTGTTCTGCTCCTCACTTTGTCTCTGGTGAACCCCCTCACCGCCCCTGCAGCTCTGGCCTGTACCTCAGTTCTGTATGAACAAATAAATCAATCTTTTTTTTTAAAAAAAAAAGATGCGGTACATATTCACAATGGAATATACACAATGGAATATTACTCAGCCATCAAAATGTAAACACATGCCTTTTGCAGCAACATGGATGGAGCTGGAAGGGATCATGCTTAGTGAAATAAGCCAGAAAGAAAGAAAAAAAAAAACGGGATGGTTTCACTCATGGCAGGAGTATAAAGGACCAGGGGAGAAAATAATAATAATGAACAGCTAAATACCAGAGACATTTTACGGGGGTGGAGTGGGGAATGGGATCAAAAACGGTGGGGGGAGGGAAATGCACTGGACTGTGGTGATGGCACATGGGTGATTTGGTGATGGCAAGCCCACGGGGCTTGCAACTGAGATGGAAAAATGCACAAAATGATGTAAAAACAAACTATTGTATAATTTAAATAAATAAAATAGCAAGTGGCATGGAAAAGAATGGGGGTGGGGGAAAGTGCACTGGACTATGGTGATGGCACATGGGTGATTTGGTGATGGGAAGCCCCCGGGGATTACAACTGAGATGGGAAAAGCCACAACATGATGTAAAAATAAACTATTATATTATTTTTAAAAAAAACTGTCTATTTTGTGGAAACTGAATGTCAGCACTGTTCCAGACAGACGAAAGACTGAGCCACAAAGGATGGGCCCTGGCTATTCTTTCAGTTACTGTTCTCAAATGTCCTGGATTTGCCTGTTGATGGACAGATATTCACCAACACAGTGAGGTATTACGGTGACAGTCAGACACCAGTGGCCATGATGGGGTGGAGGGGAAGGGTCCTTGCAGGTGCTAACAGGAATGTTTCTCCTCTCAATCTCTAGAGCCTACCGCCCACTCCATAATGCCCTCCCTTGACTTTCTAGACATTCTGGTGAAAAACACAACATCAATGGAAGGAAGATAAAACAAACAAAGACCAAGTTCTGAAAATCAAAGGAGCAGGCCCTTTAATTTTTATCTTCCTCGAGGAAAATAGGTTATAATATTCCCCAGTGATATGCTCCATGAGAGTGAGTTTTAACTATTAAGTAAATATTTATGTGATGCCAAAGAATGCATTCTGCATGTTGTACTCACACAATACATTAAAGACATCTTCTCTTCAAAACAGGAAAGAGGAAACAGCAATTAATTCCCTGAGAGAGATTATTCTGTGCTATCTGTATCTTCCCAGAGCACTGAGCATGGATCAGAAATGTTTGAGGAGAGGCTTGGAATTGTCTGCATGTTTTAGTCTGTGTGTAATCTAATCAGAACAGCAATGATGGCATTTCAAGATTAGCTCTCAAATTCAGGATAAACCCGCTTTCTTCTTTCTCTTCTTCACTTTCTAAATGATCTGTTCAGTGTTTGTGTCTGAGTCTATTCCTCTCCTGCTTATTAAAACAAAATTTAAGCTGCTTTGAACGTTGTAGGGGGAAAGTGAAAATATCAGACAATGACAGGGGAAGGTGAGTGGCACTAGAGTGAACTGAGTTACAACACAGGGATGCCAGACAAAGGGGTGATCCCTGAGGAAGAGTCTCAGGGAGAAGGGGGGAGGGATTCCACCCCTCCCTCCGAACCCCTGTTCCAGCAAAGCAGAATAAGGAAGAGAACAGTGGAGCAGAGTGAATTTGCATAAGCAGGAATTTGTTTCCTTCCTCCTTCTTCCCTGGCTGCTCTTAGCTTTCCTTCTGCTTTCCTTCCTGCCTTCCTCCCCACCCATCCATTCAAAATTACATATTGGCGCCTAGTGGAACCTCACTGCCTGCCTCTGGTACCCACAAAATGTCACTATTTGCCGGGAGGAAACCACAGAGCAAACCCCCTCCTGCACACCTGCAGCTCAGAGAGCTCCCTGCCCAGAAAATCAGTCAAGTGGGCACGAGCTGAGCAACGGTGGGGCTTGAGTCCCCCCAGGGCCAGGCGTGGTCCTGCGAATCACAGCAGGAAGCTGAGAGGGGCTGAACCTTGGAGCTCATGTCCACGAGGTGAAGCTCCGTCCACAGCTCATGCTTCTGAAATGCTGGATTCAAAAATCTCAGCAGGATGTGTGTCGTTTCCCAGGGTCAGTGGGTGGTCATGGGGAGAGGTGACGTCAGTGTGAGTGAAGTCCGACATCCCTTTTCAAATACAAGAGTCTTTTAATGCCAAAGATCCTAGCCCAAAAGCTTATCAAATTTACTGCTCACCCCAGGGAGGGCTACGAGACCAGCAGGCCCAGCTCATCCAGCCAGCAGCGGGCAAGGTGCAGAAGGCTCAAGCGGACTGAGTTCCAACCACACCTCCAGGGGGCGGGTGGCCCCTCTCGGCCCTCTCCTGGCTTCCCTAGAAACTCAAAATGAAGTGTCTGTACAAACTCCCCAAATGCCACACTGAGCTGAGTTTTTGTTTTCCATAAGTTCCTCCTTTGGTAAGGCATTTCTGAGGTCAGTCTTTTCCATAATTTAGAGGTAACATTAAAAAGAAAAACACATGACCTCTCCCTTGAAGGCCTGGCGTCCTGGACAGTTCCCAAGACGCCCACCAGACCAGTACTTTCAATTAGGCAACATGAGAAGGAGAGTTCTGGAGGCAAAAGGTAAAAAGAAGAAAAGGCAATAGAAGAAAGATAAGACAAAGGAGATGGAAAAAGTGATGATAATGAAGTCCAGGCTGGGAATTAGCTAAATGAACCCCATGCCTAGAAGCAGATGAATTTGTCTTAAATGACAAGATCTATCCCCCTTGGTCCTTCGGTCAGCACTGAACAACCAGTGACTCTTCCTTCTACCCTCTCTCTTCATAGCCCAGACTGGGCTAGTTTCAAGGATGGGTGTGAGGTGGGCTGGGGAGGGGGTGGACTTTCCTTGGGAAACAATATCGATGGAGAAGTCCCAAGTTTTCTATAGAAACAATGACAGCGACCCAGGTCTGGTGGAATGTCTTTTCTCTTGGCTCCCCAAACCTGCTTAACGTAAATCTTTTCTTACAAGTTTGATGTTCCACTGAGACTGTCTTACGCTGTTAAATTTGCAGCAAAGTGCTACATATGTCAAGAGGTGGCAAACCACATGGGGAGATTTGGAGTAAATGTTGGTAGGAACATTATTTAACCATCCCAGCTGTTCATTTACCCAACCAATATTTACTGAGTGCAAGGTACTGTGCCTATTCTTTGTTACACACTCATTATGCCCATGGAGAGAGATGGAGGAAGAATAAACAGATGAGATCAGAAACATGATTACTGGAGCCTAGGGCCTATGTAAAAGTGAATCAGGTTGAGCGAGCTACTGAGAGCAGAGAATTCAAAGGTACTGATGTCCTACAAACCCAAACAATCCATGTTGCCTTCAGCGCCTCTGAAAGGCTGATGATGAGTCTAGTGTGTGCAGGTTTCAGACCCTTTTTGAAGAGGCTGCCATGGTAAGGAGCAAAGTTGTGGGAAGAGTGGTGGTAGGAGACACAGTGTGAAAATTTTGCAGTCCAGTCGGATAGATGCCTTGGTATAACTACAACAAGAAAAACCCATTAAAAAAAAAAATCTAGGGGCCCTCCCTGGTGGCACAGTGGGTTAAAGCACAGCACTAAGAAGCTAAAGCCACTTCCGCATGAGTTCGATCCCCGACTGCTCCAGAGGTGACCACATGGCGTGGCAGACCTCTCCTGGCCGCCCGCTGCTCCCCTCAGCAGTGTACTTCACGATCTGCCTGTTCTGCTCCCCACTCTGTCTCTGGTGAAGCCTCTCGCCACCCCTGAGCCTCTGGCCTGTACCCCAGTTCTGTATGCACAAATAAATAAATCTTAAAAAAAAAATCCAGTAATAGAAAGAATAGATACTGTCCAGTATGTGAGGTGTGCCTGGCACCAAGCTCATGCTTCCCCCACCAAAGTGCATGTTAAGAATTATGGAATAAACATGCCCCCACTCCTTTGCACAGAAACTAGAAATAACACTTAAGAAAATTCAAGTATATTGGTCA